CTAAACGAGGGAAAGAGTATGAAAGGCAACAAACTCATTGATATAATACAGCCCCGATGACTGTGTGCTCTATTCAAGGGGGGGGCAGTGCCAATGTAGCCCTCCAGTTGTTCTTATTGTATGTGTTGCTCAGTGCTCACCATGACATGCTGCTACATGCTCGAGCAACAGGATGCTACGAATCCGGACCCGAATGACCACCGATTCTTGGAGATCGATGCATAGCTGTGAATCATTTGACAAGGGGTACCCGCCTAAATCAAGTAAGAAGCCCATACGAAACAGATCATGGCTGTTACATGTGAATTTTCTTTCTAAGATGGATGCGCGGCGACACCGAGACCCCCCGATTGAGTACAAGGTCATCATTGATCATGAGTGAGTAATCAAACAGTCCGACGTTTAGTTTCTTCCGTGAGTTTCTTTCGGGGGTTGTGCATAGTGGGCATGAACACACACACACACACACACAAACTCACTAAGGGAAGAGAGAGGGGAAGAGAGAATTGGTATAGGAGAAAGTGTGGGAAGGCGCCGTCGGAAAGCTCACTTTATTTATCGGTTTATTTATTTATTTATTTGAGTCTAACGTGAAGAGGAACCAGAAATCATCCAAGACGTCAGACAGTTACCGTTAATTAGGAGATCAACCAGTTTTGTGCTATTGTTCTACACGGTTCATCAACGAATCAGACCCCTCCCGCTCATCTAGGGGAGGGGCAGACACGCGCTAGTCTCCAACGGATCAAACATGGTCTGTTCATCAAGGGGGCAGACACAAGGTGCTCATCAACAAATCAGACAACCTCTGTTCGTAGAGGGGGCAGACGCACGCTGCTCATTGACGAATCAGACTTCGGATGCCCATTACAAAACCGGCCATTCGTCGCTCATAGGCAGAAACACTATGTATCTTTTGGCCAACCAATACTCGCCGATCATTGCTAGGTCAATTTCATATCGCTCGTTGCTGAACCGGGATCTTGTTGATCATTGCCCGGGGCGAGTGAATTTGAACGGTGAGTGTGGTGTGAACTCTCGATTATCGCAAGGTGTATGGGCGACAATCATTATTAAAATTTCGATCTCATTGCCATTTTCTTCGTCCATTTGATATTGGAACGAATTGGTCACTGCGAAGTTACGTGTTTACAACCTAGAATCAACAAAAGCTTGATTGAGCCTTGCTTCCCTCTCCAACCTATCGGGAAAACTGAAAACGCTGCCTGAGTTCGGTCTTCAAAAAGGAACGTGACAGATGATCAAAATATAAACTGGCACCCTACTGGTTGTTGAGGACCTCGGAAGCGGGCGCAGCGAGTGAGAAGCGTTGTTGCCCTTGGCTTCAGCGAACGGTAGGCAACCCCTCCCCGGGTTTCCCCCACAACTTTGGCGCTGTTGCCGGGGAGGGGAGCAACACCCTCAAGGCCGCGGCCTCCCCCAACCAACGGGGGTGCACGGGCTGATTAGTCAAACACTAATTAGCTTGTTTTCTTGATTAGTTTTATTTTTTATAATCATTTTATTTAGTTTTTTTGAAATATCTCCCGATCCGCGCGCTTTTGCGCGAGCCGCGCTGGGAGCGAAGTTCGCCCTCTCGTCGAGGCAAACGTTTTGAGACGTTTTTTGAAAACTTCTAACGGCTAGAAAAAAATATATGAATTTTTTTGTATTTTTTTA